ATTGGTCAAGGATCTTCTGACAGTCCCTCTCGAGGCTTTATCCAATGGTCTAATGGTTTCTAGACAACAGTAGAAGGGGAGAGAGCCCTTGGGTGGGCAGAAGGGTAGCTGGGTTAAGAACCTCACAAGGAGACATAGTCAGTCCTGGATTTTCCATCAGCAATACTTGATATCTGAGGATCCTTTTATCAGATATCCATAAATGTCCTCTCCTCTTCAATTGTTTCACTCAGTGGGTGATAAGAATGGTCAGCTTGCCCCCAAGAGAGCATTTTAAGGCATCTTCTGTCAGGAGTGCAAGGCCGTAAGGTTTCAAAGGCAGGGAGGCCAGCCTCAGGCACTTGGGTTGAGCCTTTTGGAAAAGGAAGCCAATGGCTGGGGTTCAGGTTCCAACCTTTGAGTTAACACTCCCAAGACATCAAGTGTGGCATCAAATGTCAGGTCAGTTTATTTCTCTTCCTCAGTTGTTGTCTCATTGCAACAAAAATTTGGATGATGGACCAAAAGGTTTAAAACAACAGACAAGTTACAGGTCAGTTCAGCTCAAGCAGACAGATCTTTTATTACACAGACATTCCCAAGATGTGGGAGTGAACCAACTGCAAAGGAGTCATCCTCCCCATCCCACTTGGCTTCCCCCTTTTTATACTTCCTATGTATTCCTTTTGACTGTGCCCTGTGCAGAATAGGGCTTGTACCCACCACCAGTCAAGAAAGGGAGTGCAAATAGGCATATGCTCAAGGCCGACTGTCAGCTGCAAGTTAATGACAGCAGGCTTTGTTGTGTATGTCTTCCCATAATCCTGTCTGTTATAATCAGATGTATATATGTGTAGAATATTTATGAACCATTAATGGGCTCCTAGCTGCCTAAGGTTACTTTAAGTCCCTGTGGTTATTTTGTATCCACCGTGTGCTTAGGGCACATGTGCAGGAGGGAGAAAAGTCTCTGTGGTTATTTTTGTAGCATATCTGTGAGCTTTCCTTGGTGTGTCTGGGATGGGATTTAGAGATCAGCTTGCTTCCTTTTTAGCTAGGCCACTCCTCCTTCCTCATACCTAACTTCCTACCTAACAAACTTAGGAATTGTTGGGTCAAGGAGCATGGGAGGAAAGTTGGTTGTGCTTACTAGTTTTATAGCTGGAAGCTGGTTTATCATCGAGTAGAGTTCTTATGGAATGTTTTTGAAACTTCTGTCCAAAGGAACTCAGGGCAAAAAAGTAAAGCAAAGTCAAAAAGCAAATGACAAGCTGAGAGATTATTTATTATAAAGGAGAAATCTCCCTATTATATAAAGATCATGAGGGGAAGAAACAAAAAGTCTGATAGAAAAGTGGACAAAAATCATGTAAAGATGGTTCACAAAAGATAGGCAAAAAGTCTTTAAATATTTGAAGACATCCCACTTCACTAATAAGGAGAATGCAAGTTTAAACCACATTGAGATACCTACCATTTCTCACCTATCAGTTTAGAAGAATCCATTCTGTTGGAAAGGCTGAGGGGAAACAGGCATAATTATATTACCCCCGTCAAGGTAAATTTGACAGTACCTACTATATATATGATATCTGAAGAAAGCTGAGCACCAAAAAATTGATGCTTTTGAACTGTGGTGCTGGAGAAGACTCTTGAGAGCCCCTTGGACTGCAAGGAGATCCAACCAGTCCATCCTAAAGGAGATCAGTCCTGGGTGTTCATTGGACAGACTGATGCTGAAGCTGAAACTCCAGTACTTTGGCCACCTCATGCGAAGAGTTGACTCATTGGAAAAGACCCTGATGCTGGGAGGGATTGGGGGCAGGAGGAGAAGGTGACGACAGAGGATGAGATGGCTGGATGGCATCACCAACTCGATGGGCAGGAGTTTGAGTCAACTCTGGGAGTTGGTGATGGACAGGGAGGCCTGGCGTGCTGCGATTCATGGGGTCGCAAAGAGTCAGACACGACTGAGTGACTGAACTGAACTATATATATATTTACCATTTGATTCATAAATTCCACTTTTAGGAAATTACCCTGAGTGTACATCTCTTGCCATAGGACAATAAAAAATAGGCACACAGTGTTTCATTATGGCATTATTTATAGTAGCAAAATATAATATATATTAATATATCACTTTGATATTTATATACCAGCATACATCAATAATGGGACAAACTAAAGTCAGATAAAAAAAAGAAACCTAATTGTATATCAAATTGATTACATAATCACATAGGAAAATTTAATTCAAAATTTTAAACATAGTATTCTGAAAATAGTCTCTTTTGCTTAACAACAGAAAGCATTAGAAAACTTAAATTTCACTTAGTAGTTTTGCTGTTAGTGGTGGTCATAGTCATAATTTTGGAACTGATGTGTGTGTATGAGAGAAGTACAGATATGGAAGGAGGAGGAGGAAGAAGCATATGCTAGATGCTGGATTTTTTTTTAATATAATTTTTTTTGGGCTGTGCTGGGTCTTTGTTGCTGTGCAAGCTTTTCTGTAGTTTCAGCAAGCAGGGTCTACTCTCTAGTTGTGCACAGGCTTCCCACTGCATGGGCTTCTCTTGTTGGAGAGCCTGGGCTCTAGAGCACAGGCTCAGTTGTTGTGGTGCTTGGGCTTAGTTGGTCTGCAGCATGTGCAGTCTTCCCAGGTCAGGAATGGAACCCATGTCTCCTGCGTTGGCAGGTGAATTCTTTTGGCGCTGAGCCACTAGGGGAGCTCTGCAGATGCTGAAGTTTAATCAGTGGTATCAGTGTGAGCTCATGATTTCAAAAAGGCCTAGAAAGCTGTGACTCTGGGAGTAAAAAGCAAACAGTACCTGGATCAGGGCTTCTAATATACCTTTCGTTAGTAAAAGAAGCCAGAGATCCTCAGAGAATGGTTAGTTCCAGATCTACAGGGCAAAAGTGTAAGATGAGCCTGGAATATCTAGTAAAAAAGTGTTCCCCCAAACATAGCAACTCATTGGAAATAGGATCCAGCTTGAAGACTATTCCAGTAGCCAAGACTGATACAACTTGAGCATCAAAAATAGTAATTCTTGTTATAGACTGTAACATGTTTGAATGGTTTTTAAAAAAGAAAAAAGGGGAGGAGGCTTGGGCTAGACCTTTGAGAATGGATTCAATTTAAATAGAGAAGAAAGGTAGTTTTGGATCAGTGTGAACAAAGTAAGGAATTGGTAAAGAAGAGGGCATATTTCAGGAGCTTGGAGTTGGGGTGGGGTTGATCCAGCTAGGTTGCAGGTTCACATGGGAATCAGTAGGCATAAGAGTTGATAGTTTCAGTGTCAATCTGAAGACTACCTTTTGAGTGTAGTGGCAATGGAGAGCCACTGTAAGTTTCTGAGCAGAGGAGATATATGAGGTAAAAACAAGATAGGTGTTTTGGGAAGATGACAGGCAGCTAGATGGACAACAGGAAACAGGGATGGCAGGCAAGGAGATCAGTGAGGGAGTCTTTGCAGAAGTGCTGCGGCCTGCAACGAGCCTGGGAATGGATAAGGATAAAAAGGGCTGAAATTTTAAAAAGCATTTCAGAGGACAAATAGATGGAACTTAGTCCTCTGATGAAGGACAAGGGATGAGTCAGTGACTATTAAGTTTCTGTGCTGAAGGGTAGAAAGATGATGGTGGAGCTAAGCTAAATATGCAGAGCAGAGAATTGTTTTTTGATGTATTATTTAATGGAAGATAATATGCTTTAACTTTTCATTTTGTATTGGAGTATAGCCCAGTAACAACATTGTAATAGTTTCAGGTGAACCGTGAAGGGATGCAGCCATACATGTGCATGTATCCATTGTCCCCCAAACTCCCCTCCCATCCAGGCTGCCACATAACACTGAGCAGAGTTCCTTGTGCTATACAAGTAGGTCCTTGTTGGTTATCCATCTTACATGTAGCTGTGTGTACATGTTCAGAGTTGTGATGTATTTCAAATTGGTTTTGAATATATTGACTGAGCCAATAGCATTTTGATGTTTACAGATCTCAAAAACGTGAAGTGAGTGTGCCACTTTGGGGGTGGTGCTGCTGAGCTTCCGCAACCAGCTTGATCTCTTATAGAGCTCAGGCGAAAGCAGGGCTCTGGTGTTTTCCTAAAGCTGTGTCAGTGTTTGCTTTCCACGATACTTTATGGTGCTCCACAGAATGCTCAGAACAACCATGTCCCTGGGGAAGCCCAGTGGGCTACTCTGAGCGAATATAACATCATCTCCTGGTTGGGCCAGAAAAGAGTTTTCAAGGCACAACTCAGGGGAGGGCGCCCATATATGGAATTTCTCTTTCATCCCTGCAGTGAGGCTTGACTGAGGGGCCTCTGTGGTTTGTGGCTGTCTGGCTTCATCACAGGGTGACTGCCCTTGTTACCCGCCCCACACTCTTGCTTGGCTGAAGGAAGCCTGTGCTGAGCTCTCCCAGTGAGCAGGCTTGCAGGCAGCCTTCCTCCCCTGCAGTCTGGGCATCCACATGGCATGGCTATAAATTATGCCCGGTGTGTTCATTTTCCGTTTAAATGTGTTCTCATCCCAGAGGAGCAACTAATGGCGTCAAGTTACTGATGTGAAAAAAGCCTGCCGCTACAATGACTATGGATTAATGAAATAGCAGACATGGAGGCTGGGGCAGCAATAAATTGTCAGCCACCAGTGACGTGGGTTTTAAATTATATTCTCCATCTCCTTTCCGCTTTTCCCAAATTGTTTTCCTGTAGAGTTGTTTGGTAAATGTTTACCATTGTTTAAATGTTTGCTGTTAAAAGTTGGTGCAAGCTGGGCCCTTCCTCTTAAGAGCCCTTTTCTCAGAAAATTGGAGGTGAGCTAAGAGGGATTTAAAAGTCTACCATGCTTTCTCTAGGAGGCATGAAGGCAAATCTCTTAATCCAGGATCATCACTGACTGATCACTTTCATTCAGAAAATTGGCAAACACAGGGCTCTGTTAGTGAATTCTGCTCATTTGGCATGTAAGTTGGCTACCTTTACCTTCTGTTATGACCTTTTTCTTTTCCTAATGAATGTAAAACTCATCATGTTTCTGATAGGCAGCAAGTCTGTTTTTCATGGATGAAGAACCCCAGGGAATCAACTGATGGGCCATAGGGAGATCAAGAGAATGCCTGGTCCTATAAGCAAATTGCCCATATGTGTATGTTTCCCTAGAAGGAAGGTATGTGGGTTTCATCAGGTTCACCAAATGTTCTGCACCACTAAGATAGCTTAAGGGCTGCCATGGTGGACTGCATGAATAGCCACAGCATCTTCCTCTCCCCAGATCAATACCCTTGCAGTGCATTTTGTATTTCTTCTGACTGAGAGGAGTTTGAAAGTGAAAGTGAAGTCGCTTAGTGCGTCCGACTCTTTGTGACCCCAGGGACTGTAGCCTACAAGGCTTCTCCGTCCATGGGATTTTCCAGGCAAGAATACTGGAGTGGGTTGCCATTTCCTTCTCCAGGAGATCTTCCCGACCCAAGGATTGAACCTGGGTCTTCTGCATTGTAGGCAGATGCTTTACCGTCTGAGCCACAGGGGAAGTCCTTGAGAGGAGTTTGCTGCTGCTGCTAAGTCGCCTCAGTCATGTCTGACTCTGTGCGATCCCATAGACAGCAGCCCACCAGGCTCCCCCGTCCCTGGGATTCTCCAGGCAAGAACACTGGAGTGGGTTGCCATTTCCTTCTCCAATGCATAAAAGTGAAAGTGAAGTCACTCAGTCATGTCCGACTCTTGGCGACCCCGTGGACTGCAGCCTACCAGGCTCCTCTGTCCATGGGATTTTCCAGGCAAGAGGACTGGAGTGGGGTGCCATCACCTTCTCCATGAGAGGAGTTTAGCCACCCTTTATTCTGGACTGGCGTTCTGATTGGCTTTGGCCTCTGTTGTTGTTCAGTTGCTCAGTTCAGTTCAGTCGTTCAGTCGTGTCCGACTCTTTGCGACCCCATGAATTGCAGCACACCAGGCCTCCCTGTCCATCACCAACTCCCGGAGTTTACTTCTCAGTCATGTCCAATTCTTTGCAACCCCATGGACTGAAGCATGCCAGGGTTCCCTGTCCTTCATTATGTTCTGAAGTTTGCTCAAACTCATGTCCATTGAGTTCATCATGCCATCCAATCATCTCATCCTCTGTCACACCCTTCTCCTCCTGCCCTCAGTCTTTCCTAGCATCAGGGTCTTTTCCAGTGAGTCAGCTCTTTGCATCAGGTGGCCAAAGTATTGGAGCTTCAGCTTCAGCATTAGTCCTTCCAATGAATATTCAGGGTTGATTTCCTTTAGGATTAACTGGTTTGATCTCCTTGTTCTCCAAGGGACTCTCAAAAGTATTCTCCAGCACCACAGTTTGAAAGCACCAGTTCTTCAGGGCTCAGCCTTCTTCATGGTCCAACTCTCACATCCATACATGCCTACTGGAAAAACCATAGCTTTGAGTAGGTGGACCTTTGTTGGTTTCCCCATCTGACCTGCCAGCAACTGCAGACAGTGAGTGTGCCCAGCTGAGATCAGCCACGTCAAGTTTATGGATTTCATTAAACTCACTAAATGTGAGTTTATGCTGAAATAGCGTGGGGGCTGCCATGGTGGACTGCATATGTGGCTGCAGCTTCTTCCTCTCCACGCATCCATGCTCTTGCATTGTGACTTTGCAGGAGCAGGGGTGTATGGCGATTGGGCCAGACCAGAAGCAACTGTTCAGTCCAGATTGCTGACATACAGAATAGTGAACAAAATAATTTACTTTGGAGTATTTCATTGTACAGCAAAAGCTAACCAATACAAATACTATAACTGTGCAATTTGAGAATGAGGGGTACATCTTATTCAGATTTTGTATCTCTTTCTCCTAAGAACATAAGAATCATTTAATATACACGTATGCTCAGTCATGTCCAACTGTTGTTGACTCCATGGACTGTAGCCCTCGGGCTCCTGTGTCCTTGGGGTTTTCCAGGCAAGTGGATATCCATTCCCTTCTCCAGGGGATCTTTGTGACCCAGGGATTGAACCCGCATCTCTCTTGTGTCTCCTGCATTGGCAGGCAGATTCTTTACCATTTCCCCACCTGGCAGTTCTCCAACCATTTAATATGTATCTACTGAATTGGTTAGAACTGGTCTCTCAGAAAGACTGAGGTTCAGCCACTTTCTCAAGGTCACTTAATAAATGAGGAGAGATCCCTGAGCACCTAACTCTAGCCCTCTGTTTCCTTATTTATAAAATGTGCTTCAAAACACCGACCTTGTGGTGTTGCTGTGGCTATGAGAGATACTGTGTGCATTAGAGATGCTTAATACCTGACAGACAGCAGCTCCAGCCAAGCACACAGATGAAATGGCTGCGGGACTCATCCGCACGCAGGCGATCAGGCACGTTTCTGTGATCACAGTGACCGCCAGGTGTGAGGCACGTGGGCTCGTTTCCAGGTGTCAGCTTTCTCTGCTGCAAAAGGAGGTTGGCTCCTCCCGGCTCAATCACGTGTCATTCTGACATGGCTGCAGCTGCAGTGCAACCAAGCGGCCAGAGGACTTGCCCCTCCCTCCGTGAGGGTGGGCGAGGCTCCGGAAGGAACAAGAGTTGCTGCTCTGGATTCTGCCGTCACTCCCTCTATCTCATTTGCTTGCTTGTAAAATCAGGGGTGGGTGACAGGAAGCTCTCTGAGAATCCTGTCAGCTGCAGGAATCCGAGGGCTTCAGTTACTACCAGGGTCTCCTCTGAGGACGGGGGACTAAACTGCTCACAGGATCACTGAGCCATAAGAGAAGTTACCTTGCCATCTACTAGAGGAAAAGAAAAAATTTCTGTATTTGTCTAAAGCAGAAAGAGGAAAAGCAGGCCATGGGATTGGGGAATAACTAGTGAGAAAAAAAGGGAAAGGAGCAAGCCTGATTTGAGCTGGGGTGCTAGAACCCTGCTTCCTTCAGGGTAATGGTGCCTCATGCTGTGCAGATCACATGGTCGAACCTTAGACATAGAGAATTACAGAAAAAAATTCCTTCCCCCAAAGCATGACACACACAAAGAGTTATGAAATGCTCAGAATGAATTACACAAAGAGCCATGAGACATTTGAATTTTTTTTTCTTTTCCATTAAGATTGCCTGTCCTTTTCTAATAAAACCTAATAAACCTAATATGACTTCTAAGACTTAGAAAAAAACTTCTTGTGTTGGAGACATATTTGGAAGTGAATAATGGACACACATATCATTTACCACAAGCAGTGAGGACAGTATCTGAAAATCTTGCTTTTTTCCAAAAGAGACATTAACTTTTGCTTGGAAGCAAATGTGAAAACATTGATTTCTATCCAACTCTCAACATATATCCAACGAGAAAGTTATAACCTATTCTGTTATGCTTTTAATAGGATTTTCTATCTTTAATGTTGAGGTCTTAAACATTAACATTACCAATGAAAGAAAGCAAAGAAAACAATTACCAGATGGTATTTTCAACCAAATTTTTTTATATTATAATCATGCTTCTCTACAACTAAGGATTCTTGTGGTGTGCAAACCATATGTCTGCTTTTATTTACCTAAGTAAATATGGAACAGCATTTCCAATAGGGGAGGTCCACACAACAAACAAAATATAGTGTGATCTCAATAAGGCATTCAATAAAGGTACAAGCTGGCTCTCCCTCTGCAGGGTTCTCTTAGGGTGCTCTGATGTTGGCATCGCATTCTTCTAAGAGTAGAATCAAATCTTCAATAAGGCTGTGCTCTCTGCCATGTGTTACTCTCATAATATCAAAAGCCTGAAGGAAAAAGAAGATGGATTAGATCCCCAAGTTAGGCAGGTCCCCACCTGTTCCTCATCTTTTCTTGGGCCAGGAGCCCGGAGAAACCCGCAGCCTACAGTATGATCACCACAGTGGTTCTCCACACTAGAAATGAAGTGACAAGGGTGATCTTAATGTGGTGCTTGGACTTACTGCTTGAGTCTCGCTGGAACTGGTGTCCAACAATGATCTTCAGGGATTATTAGAGCTTAGATTTGGTGTAGGTAGTTAACAGAGGTTTAAGAAGAGTTGCTAAAATGATTAATATTAATGATTAAGTACCATGCTGTTATACCTTAAAATAAGTTTTCATTTTTTCATGCTGTATTTCTCATCTATATGATACATATAACATATACTTTTTGTATTCTTTTCGTGTTATATGGCATTATAGCATTTGCATTTTGACATTCATTGCCTTCATTCTTCACTAAATCTTGTCAGTTCTACCTCCAAAATATTTCTGAAATCTGGATTTGTGCCCACTACAGTAATAGAGTATGCTGTCAACTTCCAAAGCTAGGTCAAAAAGACCATGCAACCTTTGCCTTGTTCATTAGTACGCCTGGTCCTGGAAACAGCAGTTTCTATGCTGTGAGGAAGCCCAGGCCACATGGGGAAGCCAAGGGTAGATGCTTTGGTTGACAGTCCTAGCTGAGCCTATCTTTAAATTTTATTTATGTTCTACTTTTGGCTGTGCTGGGTCTTCACTGCTGCACAGACTTTGCTCTGGTTGTGGCGAGTCGGGGTTCCTCTCTGCTTGTGGTGTGTGGACTCCTCATTGTGGTGGCCTCCCGTTGTGGAGCACAGCCGCTAAGTCATGTAGGCTTCAGCAGTTGCGGCTCCTGGTCTCTGGAGCAGAGGCTTAATAGTTGTGGCACACAGGCTTAGTTGCTCTGAATGAACCTATCTTTAAAATCATCCTAGCCTAAACACGAGAAATGTGCGTAAAGAAGCCTCCAGATGATTTAAGCCAGATTTCTTAGCTACTTTTAGAACTTTAGATCACTACTAATTTTTTGTTATGGTGTAAATCTTCTGGCATAGGCCAGATTCCAGTCTTCCCAGCTGACACCCAAGACATTATGGAAAAGAGGCAGGCCATTCCTCCTGTGATCTGTTTGAATTCCTGATCCAAATCATCTGTGAGTGTAATAAAAGAGCGGATGTTTCACTTTGCTAAGTTTCGGGATGGTTAGTTATAGAGCAATAAATAATCAAAATATCCACAAAATAGTTTTGCAGTAAATTAAAGATAAACCATAGCATCCTGAGCTTCCAAAACTGGGGGCTTCCAAACAGAAGGGCTGGTCAGCTCAGTTGGTTAGAGGATGGTGCTAATAAATTACACCAGGGTCAAGGGTTTGTCCCCATATGGGCCAGGCTGTGCAGTGATGATATTTATGGGCTTCCCTGGTGGCTCGGTGGTAAAGAACTTGCTGACCATTGCAGGAGATGTGGGTTTGAGCCCTAGGTTGGGAAGATCCCTGGAGAAGGAAATGGCAACCCCACTCCAGTACTCTTGGCTGGAAAATCCCATGGACAGAGGAGCCTGGTGGGCTACAGTCCATGGGGTCACAGAGGGTTGGACATGACTGAGCGACTGAATGACAACAAACAGAAGGGTCATCAGATCCATTGTCTTCCATGTAAATGTGCCTCAAGAGGTAGGTGAACACAGCTTGGGGTTTTTAAGCACCCAGAAGAACACCTGGCGGGCAGTGCCATGGCTCTCAGCCTTGGGTGCACAGCGGTATCAACCAGTGGGCTTCCAAAGGTGTACCAGTGCCCAGGCCCCACACATGGTCAGCTGAATCCTGTTCTCTGGAGGTGAGCCTGGCCTCGGGAGAGTCTCATGTCCTCAGGGTTGAGAACAACTGATAGAGTAAGCTTTCAACAAGTAATAACAACTATTGATTGTTCAGTGGTAACTTGTAGCCAACCATAATTACCATTTTAATGGCTGTGTACAGTTCATTTCATCAGGTTTATAGATTATTATTCACTGAGCTACTCTTAGAAATTCAGATCACTACCAATTTTTTTTGTTGTTGTGATGTAGATCTTTTAGCATAGGGTTGTTTTTTTTTTTTTTTTGCCTTTGCTGAGTATCCGCTTAAGATGCATTCCTAGAGGAGGGATTCCTAGGTGTGAGCATCTTTAAAGCCATAGAGACTTTAAAGCTGAGGCACACAGTCTCCTGAGGAGGAAACCTGAGAGTGGAAGAAGCAAAGTGTTCCGGACTAGGAGCACTTTCCACCTGTGTTCCTGGCTTTGGGGCCTCTTTAAAAATGTTCCCTTTAGGCTGGAATGAAGGAAAACAGGCAGACAGATGGGGTCTAGATTTAGCTGCTGAGAGAAAAGAGAAAGGGAAAGAAAGGCCCACCACCTCCAGCACAGATGTGCCAGCCTGGAAAAGAGCTCTGCTTATGGAGTCAGCTGTAATCCTGCAAACCCATCACCCGTGACACCCTAGCTGGAAAACCAGAAGGTGGCTATGATGGAGTCAGGGTGGTGGGATTTGGCTTTTATTAACTTGAGTGGGTCTGCCCTGTGTAGTATCTGCAAGCAAATCCCGAGAGTGGGTGGAATGAGGGGTGTCTGAGATGGAGGGGGAGGTGTCAGGAATAGCCCGCACCTTGGAGGCAGCCAAACTTGGTGAGATGTCTTTGGGCAGAAAATCAAAATCAAATATTTGATGCCAGTCAGAGAACAAACGTCTCCTGTCTCCTGCCCATACTCCCCTTGGTGCTCCATTGTTCTGGACATCTCAGGGTCTGAGGCAGAGGCATATGTGAGAGCGTGATTGGACAGAGAGACTGGAGAGATGCTGAAAGCCCTTCACGGGAAATTCTTTCACTCAAAAGCTGCTTACATGTTCTCCCTTCTGCTCAACAGAGGGCCAGATGTACTTGTGATCTGATAAAATGAGTGAATGCTCCAGGAGCACTGCCTGAAAAGCTCTTTGCAGGAAGAGACATAATGTTCTACCCCACCCATGGACAGGGGGCCAGAGAAAGGCTCACCTCCCCACTCCTCACAGTTCTCCTCTGCAGGCTGAGGGCCTGGCTTTGTTTCTCAGAAGTCCCAGACCAGCTTCTCTTTGTCCTCCTTAATGTATTTCTCCAGGTTCCTCCCCAGAAGATGTTTCTCAGGGACTTGACTCAGAGGCTAGGACGGTCACCTTCGTACCACTCAGACAGGGCCTGGCCCGTCTACATGTTTTCAGACCTGTTACAGCTGCAGCTTCCTTCCTCACTGCCATTCTAATAGTCATTCGCTTCGCTGTCTCCTCCCTTCCAGCTCTGAGAATAAGGCCTACTCCTTATGAGCCAGAGTTCATGGTGGCTGATCTGGAGTCTTCCCATTCATTCCTGCTCATCCCACAACAGGGCGGGGGCCAGCAGGAGGCTTCTGGCCCCACAGCCCCTCCCTTCAGGAGCCACAGAGCCACAGCCAGGAAGGGAAGCCTCGTTTCCACACCTCCCAGCCTGTCCCCTTGCAGAAGCACCATGAAGACCATCTGGTCCAATGTCCTCATGTCTGGCCTGAGAGTGGCCCCAGGGTGAACCCAGTGTTCACTCCATGGCTGTGCTGTGTGGCCTCCCCTGCTGAGAGTCTGCAGTGACCAAGGAGAGGGCCTGGAGGGTCTCTGAGATGTGACTTCTGCAACACCTTGAGGGGCCGCGAAGGTCTTCCTAGTCAGGATGCTGCTGGTTTTGACCTTCATTCTTATTTGGTGATGAATGCAGCACTGGAAGCAAAAGTGGGGTGGGAACAATCCCTCGGTGTGTATATGTAAGATCTGAGATACTAAGATTAGAGGAGCATATCTACAGGGGTGGCTAGAAGCAGAGCAGAAATGGGCCTAGCTGGGAGCAGAGGACCAATATGAAGAGCCTAGGGAAGAAAGTCCGTATCATTTCTCTAGAAGGTAAAACTAAATATAAATATGATGAACCAAGTAAATACTGTAGTTTTCTCAGAGCCATGGGTGGGATAGGAGGGAAAGAAAAGGAAAAAAAAAAAAGATAGGATTTAGTAATGTGCAAAATATGGTGATGACTGTGTTCTGTGTGTGCTGAGTAATATGTCAGTTTGGGTGTACAGGAAGCTGAAACTCAGACTTGGTCAGGTAAGACACCTGGTCCTTGTTGTGGATGCCCCCTGGGCCTCCAGGTAAGCTGGGGCACGATTCTCAGTGATGTAAGAAGGGAGCCTAGGGAGCTGTCAGCACAGACTGGCTCTCTGTGGTGGCCACAGCCCCTCAGCCCAGCAAGAAGAGGAGGGCTCCCCTACCTCAAAACAAAGTTACAGTAAATCTCTGACAAACCAGAACAATTGTTTCCGGTAGCTCTGTGTCTCCCTTCTCTCAGCCCTGCCCAACTGCCACACATAGACAAGTCAGAAGAGTTTTGATTTAATTTCCTGCAGCAGTATGTAAAACAGATTAAGAAAGTATAAAACCAGAGCTGGCCTGTGCTGGGAAGAGCTTATCTCTTTCCATTAAATTTTATTTTTTTAATGGTAGCATTTAAAAAGAGCCTGGCGTAATCTCCCACTGAGGACCTATTTGAAGCCTTCAAGGGGGGCTGCTACCCCCATGAACTGCCTCTAAATGTCACAGGAGGATGGAAGCACAGATTGTCTGCCACATGACAGGCATGGTTCACCCAGGAGTAAAGATGCGGTCTTTAAAAGATAGGGTCCCCAGAACTGATTTCAATCTCATCACAGCTTTTTTTTTTAAAGTAATTTTAGAATTATGATCATATATTAAATAAAATGAATTGAATCAAATTATAATTTAAAGTTGCAAACAATATAGCTTTCTTATTAATTTTTAATAAAAATATATTAAGCTTATCAAGGATCTCATATACTCTCTCCCCAAAGCCTGAGGGAATCCAATAAATGACTTCCCCAAGCAGGATTTAAATATGGATATAAATCAGAGAGAAAAGAAATGTATGCAT